TCATGAAATGTAAAATAAAATAAAAGATGTGAAGTTTCCCAACTAATGCTGGGCATCCAGAACAGATAGAGTCTTTACTCTCTCCTTGGCATAACCTGTCTTCCTTCTTCCTTGCCTGTGCACACTGACACGAGGAGACAGTGATACATCATGGCATTGGTATGTGGAAAGCCATGCTTATTTTTAGGCATCTAAATACTGGCAGGCACTTCTGGCTTAACCTTTATCTGTCACTTGGCATTTTGAGGGCTGTAAATTTGCAGCAGTAGTATTGCACTACATGAAATATTCTTTGAATGTGCAATTATTGGCTTATAGGTACAAAAGAAATGCCCACTTCACTGGAGAAATACTTCTAAAACTGCCATGGTAATAGGTGTAACTAGGTATTGCCCTTTGTAGAGATAAGTAGTCTTTGAACTGGTTAAGTATCTTTCAAGTGGAAACCTTGGCATCTTAACAGTAAGCAACTGCTGAGCGCTGTGTAAAAAGCGAGCGAACAGATGCATATTGAGAACTTCTGTCTGCTTAATTAATGGATTTTGAAAAAGAATGCCATGCCTCCCTGGCATCCAGAGAGCATTCTGTACAAGGAGCCTAGGTCAAACCTCATCTAACAATTCCCTGATGAGGGGGAAAACTGAGTACAGAGTACAATACCTGGGGTGAAGTCCTGGTTCCTAGGACTTCACCCATTTTTAGTCTTTACTTCCCTTGACTAGAAATAGTTTGTGGTGTTTGTCCCCAAAGTGAGATTTATTTATAAGTGCACAAATATTTCCAAGCATTTCACCTATCAAAGGGATTTAGAAAATAAAAGACTTTCTGTAGTGAATATAGTACCTGGCCCATTCTGTCACCTTGGAATATAGTGAAGAGAGTGAAGCTGAGTTAAGCTAGAAAAAGAAATAGCTACTTTTCTCAAAAACTGTGTACCCTCTCACTTCACATTGCTGCCCACAGGTGACCCAGGCTACAATACTTTCTTCTAGCATATGCCTTTTGCAGTTTGATCACAGCTTTTAAAAAGACAGAGAGAGAGAGACTTGCAAATAGAGAGAGAATATACATTAGACAGTTTCCTAGAAAATAGGGGTACGTCTACACTACAGCGCTAATTCGAACTAACTTAGTTCGAATTAGTTCATTCGAACTAAGCTAATTCGAACTAACGCGTCTAGAACTAAAAACTAGTTCGAATTAGCGTTTTGCTAATTCGAACTAGCATGTCCACATTAAGTGGACCCTGAACCGGGCTTAAGGATGGCCGGAAGCAGTGCCGGCAGGGGATCAGAGGAGGACTTAGAGCGTGGAGATGCTGTCTCAGGCTAGCCGAGGGCTGTGCTTAAAGGGACCCGACCCCCCCCCCGGACAGACAGTTCTCAGGGGTGCCCCGCTTGCAAACCAGTCCTGGCTTGGAGTGCCCGGAGTGCCCACACTGGGCACATCACAGCACTCGGCCATCAGCCCGGCTGCACTTGCCGCAGGCTGCCATCTGGGGAGAGGGGGCAATTGGGGGGCTGCAGGAGAGCTTCCACCCCCAGAAGCCCACAGAGCCAGCCCAGTCCTCCCCATCGGGGGCTCGTACCCCATTCCTCCCTCACCTCCTTCCACTTACCCTTCCCTAGCCCCTTTTCTTGATGTACCAAATAAAGGACAATTGTGTTCAAAAATGGAATCTGTCTTTATTGAACAAAACTGGGGGAGACTGGGAAAAGGAGGTGGGAGAGGGGAAGAGAGAGGCTGGGAGAGGGGAGGGCAACTACAATGATCAGGGGTTGGGAACAGGTTCCATATGAAGAGAGGCTAAAGAGACTGGGACTTTTCAGCTTAGAAAAGAGGAGACGGAGGGGGGACAGGATAGAGGTCTCTAAAAGCAGAAATTGGGTGGAGAGGGTGCATACAGAAAAGTTCTTCATTAGTTCCCATAAAGAAGGACTAGAGGACACCAAATGAAAGGAATGGGTAGCAGACTTCAAACTAGTAACAGAAAGTTGTTCTTCACAAAGCAAAGAGTCAGCCTGTGGAACTCCTTGCTGCAGGAGGCTGTGAAGGCTAGAACTAGAACAGAGTTTAAAGGGACGTGAGATCAAGTGATGGAGGTTGGGTCCATGGATTGGTATTAGCCAGGGGGTAGGAGTGGTGTCCCTGCCCAAGGTTTGTGGAATGCTGGAGAGGGATGGCACGAGACAAATGGCTTGGTCACTGTCTTCGGTCCATCCCCTCCAGGGTCCCTAGGGTTGGCCGCTGTCGGCAGACAGGCTACTGGGCTAGATGGACCTTTGGTTTGACCCAGGACGGCCATTGTAAGCTCAGGGCTCAGGGTCGGGGGTCTCAGTGGACCCCCTTGATTTTCATGCACACCTGCTCCTGGGTGGCCAGGCTGGCAGCTCTCCTGCCCTAGACAGCCACTTTCCTGTGCCTAGTGCGGAGATCGTGGACGAGGTCCACGATGTCCGCACTAGCCCAGGTGGGTGCCCGCCTCTTGCGGTCCCGGGCAAGCTCCCGGGAGCCACCAGCCTGGTCCCGGGAAGAGGGGGAGGGCTGGGGGGCATTGGGTGGCTGGCTCGATTCGTGCCAGGTGCAGGGTCTGCTGGCTGGGTGCTGGCAGGCTTGCACCTGGCACAGGAACCGTAGCCAGCCCGTGCCCCTTTAAGGGGTCCGGGGCCGGGAGGGGGGCATAGAGTTTCCCTGGTGTTGGCCAGAGTGGCCACCAGGGAAACCTGGGGAGGGCTAGCCTCCCACTAGTTCGAATTAAGGGGCTACACACCCCTTAATTCGAACTAGCTAGTTCGAACTAGGCTTAATCCTCGTAAAATGAGGTTTTCCTAGTTCGAACTAAGCGCTCCGCTAGTTCGAATTAAGTTCGAACTAGCGGAGCGCTAGTGTAGCGCCTATGAAAGTTAGTTCGAACTAACGTCCGTGTTTATAGAGGACTTAGCCTTTGTTGCTATAATAGTGAATAAGCCTATTTCACCCAGTTCTCCATATTTTTTCTGATACAAAGCTGGATGAGCAGCTGTTGCGTTTGTAAGTGCTGTTTAGTATGTTCAGTCCCATTGACACCACAGGATGCAAAAGTAAAGAGAAGGTGAATGTCACTCAACTACATCAGCCTTTGTTATTAAAATTTTAATCCTGGTTCCACAGAATACATAGCTGGGTGCTCATGTGCTGTACAAAACTACACCACACAGGAGCTGCTTGAATCATATTTGTATGTAGTTCATTTTAAATTTTTCAAATATGCCACTGAATAACTTTTTCATAAATATATTTTTCACTATTTCAGCAGTCCTAAAGATGGCTGAATAATTATTTGCCACCCCCCTAAATGCCACTTTTCCACTTGGCAATGCATTTATTTAGTGTATAATTTCTATTAAACACGTTCTAGTCAATATTTACTTGGCACATCATCAACATTTTCACTATAAAAACCTGTTTACTGTGCCGGTGATCATTATAACCAAGTTTACTTGAGGGCAACCTAGCAGGAGAGAGAACTTTCATTAAAAATAGCAGGGAACTTTTCAGCAAAAATATACAAGTAGTGCACAGGGAAATAAACCATAATGATCAACTTATGAATGTTAAGACCTTGTTGCCTCACAGAAGTGAAAAGCCAACAGAGAGCATGCCCTCTTTTCAACTACCCTGGGGCTTCCAACCAATTCTTACTGTTTTAAACCACAGCCAATGTTTATAGATTAGTTTAAGAGCTGTTTGTCTTTTTTTTGTTTTGTTATAATCTCCCACAAACCTTCACCCAGTGTTTAAGTAGTGGTTAGTGAGAGGCATCTGTTTCTAGTATTTACCTGCTAGGGAATAGGATTTGAGGGTGCCAGAGGCTTTCTATTTTGAATTTGTAACTTGTCACGGTGCTAAATGCAAAGGCAGTGCTGATGGCAAAAGAGCTGGTAGCCAACACAGAAGAAGAACAATGTGTTACTAGGATGTCAATCTCAGCAGCTGCAAAATTGAGAGTCTTGTTAGATGTTGTAGTAGCCCCTTTATCCAGACAGTTTTGTATTAAAAGATGTAGCCTCTTGGAGGCTGATAGCAAAGCTATTTAATAAATTAATAACCCCACTACAAGTGTGCTCTCTGCCCCAACTTATTTAGCTTACCTTCCCCCTACCATAAACTCCCAGAAGTAGAAGGGTCTTATTGCTCTTGTTCTGTTGACAGTGTTGTCCAATGACGTTAATGCAGGAGTAGGAGCCTAGAATTTCTAAATTCTAATCTGAGCTTTAATCTTCACTCCCTCTGTAGTCTATGGCAAGTCACTCAAGCTTTGCTGCCTCAGTTTCCTTCCTCGGAAAATCGGGATATCATCTGGTCTCACTGGGTGTATATTGGAGGATGGATTATTATTTATGTGGTGCATTGAAGGTGTAAAGGGCTGTGTAAATGAGAAATGTCATTACTATGGCTGTATACTTATTGAAAAAACTGTTACTTTTTAGGTTTTCCAGTAAATAGTCCGTCTTTGGCATACCAATCAGTTTGCTATTGATCATGTTTCCTCCGTGATTTTTAAAATGGGTTTCTGTATAAGTATATTGTTATATAGTATTGGCCTCTTGATTAAGTAGCTTTAAACAATTTTTTCTTGAAAAATACAGGATATTTAATCTATATTATAAATTTATATGGGAAACAATCCAAGATTAAAAATATTCTGTAGTGACTTTCCTTTTTGATAACTAATTTTTGAATTTTTTTGCCTTGAAGGCCAAAGAGCCTTAACCATGCTTTTATGTTAATGTTTATGCCGCACGGAGAGCCAAATTCTTCATGCCTTGTATGTTGTGTAGATACATCTCTGCAGTCAGTACAAAAATACTATTGCTCTGAGTATGTAGCATATCACGATTTAATTTGCAGAAACTGACAATATGAACTACAAGGCAGTGGAGAATCATGTCCAGTATTAGCATACATATAATCCTTTCTAGTTAAATATGCATAATTACTTATATTTTATCTTTGCACAGGAACTGCGAGGATGCGTTATCATCTGAAGACTGTGAAACCTTATTCCAGTTTGTTTATACCATGCACAGACCTTTGGCAGTAGCCGCCGGGGAATTCCTTTATAAAAGGTATCTCTGCCTGGATATTTTTTGCATATTTTCATTGTTTCAGAGTGAAAATGGATTTGTTTATGAGGAACATTAAACATTTATCTTTCAATTGGTGACTAGTCTCTGGAGGATACCAGATGTGCTTTCTTCTGCTGAATAAGTGGAGTGCGGTTATCTGGGGCTAACTGCTTCACTTTCCAGCCCCAGCATGTTAAGCAAGCACGAGAAATGTACAAAACTATAATAAAGTATAAAACAACTGACTAGTCCACAGGTATTATATCATGCCAAGGACTGTGCAGCCTTCCTTTCTACTTTTTCCCTGTTGTTTTACTTCTGATGAACTAGTTGATCACCTGGCATCTGTTGGGTTTTTTGTAGCTGTTTATGATTAATTGCAAAGGTGGCCTCTTCTCCCCCTGAAAGTTGTCTTATACATTGTAAAGGCTTTGAATAATGAGAGAGCCCACAGATGAAAAATCCTCCCAATTTTCAGTCAAATCAATGAAATATAAAATCTAACTTCCCAGGAGTAACTTTTATAAATGGGTCTTTATGACAATGGATGTGGGAAATGAATGGAACTGCCATGCTACAAAGGAAATTAATAAATATTTTGTATCTACAGCTTAATGAAATTCTGTGTTTTGTTTTAGCAAAAATTGTTGAAAATACTTTTGGCAAGGCTTTGAAGAAGCAATATTAAAAGTTGACCATGATTATTCATACCTCTTCCCCCATTCCTCCATTGCTGTCCATACCCACCCAGCAAAATTATGTAAGGCCTAGGATTTGTGGTTCCAGGCCCAACACCCAACACAAAATAAAAAGAAAAATCCCTTCTCTGAGGTATCTCGTCATATATCCTAGCTCTGCCCTGATTTTTTTGTAGGTCCCCAACTTTCTGGACTAATGTTATTAATCAGTGATTTATCACCAAAACAGTGTCGCTCTTACCCATTGGTGGTGCTACTTACTAAACTTTTTATTCCTGTTTCTCTGTTGTAACCTGGGACCTGTAACATCAGCAACTCATCAGTATTCCATTGGGCTATGTCTAGACTGCAAGCCTCTTTCGAAAGAGCCTCTTTCGAAAGATACTTTCGAAAGAGCCTCTTTCAAAAGAGAGCGTCTAGACTGCACGCGGAATTTCGAAAAAGCAAGCCGCTTTTTTGAAAGAAAGCACCCAGTGAGTCTGGATGCTCTCTTTCTAAAAAGCCTGTTTGCTGTCAAGAACGCCTTCTTTCGAAAGAGCACTTTCGAAAGAAGGCGTTCTTCCTCGTGGAATTAGGTTTACCACCGTCGAAAGAAAAGCCGCATTCTTTCGATTTAATTTCGAAAGAACGCGGCTGCAGTCTAGACGCAGGTGAAGTTTTTTCGAAAAAAGGCTACTTTTTTCGAAAAAACCCCTGAGTCTGGACACAGCCTTGGAATCCAAGCAAATCACTGGGTCACTGTGACATGAGCTGCTGATCATTGTACAGTAAAACTCCGATGGTCCGGCACTCCTGATGGTCCGGCACCATCAGGAACCTGGAAGTGTTCCGAGCAGCCGGACCATTGGAGCTGCTCTGCCCCCATCTTCCCCTACTCAGCCGCTGCTAAAACTGACCAGCCACTGAATTGGGGAAGCCGGAGGCAGAGCAGCTGGGGCGCTGCTGGGTAGGTCCCCTAGCTCTGCCCCTCGGGGCAGCGGGACCAACCGGGCAGCACTCCAGGTGTCCCAGATTCAGCTGCTGCTAAAACTGACCAGCGGCTGACTCCAGGAAGCCCGAGGCAGAGCTGCCCCTGATCAGTTTCAGCAGCGGCTGGCTTGTGGGCACCTGG